TAGCATAAAATTTGGCACACGGAAGGCATTTAATAAATATTTTGTTATGGACAGACTGATTTCTATTTTTAAAAAGTTATTTTAACCAAAAAAAGTCCAAAAAGAATTACCTTTGCCTTCTAAAATCTGAGTTCTGTTTCTCTGAAAGGTAACTGATACACTGCTGGTGGGAATATAAAATGGTACAACCCCTGTGGGAAACAGTCTGGTAGTTTCTCAAACAGGTAAAGAGAATTACTACATGACCCAACAATTCCACTCCTAGGGATATAAGCACCCCCCAAAACAATTAAAAACAGGAACTGAAATATTCGTATGCCACCGTTCATAACAGCATTATTCATAGCAGCCCAAATGTGGAAACAACCGAAGTATCCACCCACAGATAAATGGATAAACATTGTGGCACAAGCCATACAATGGAATAGTGTTTAGCCACTAAAAAGGAATGTAGTTCTGATATTCTTCATCTACATCATGGATGAACTCTGAACCCGTGTCGCTAAGTGAAAGAAGCCAGGCACTAGAGGACAAACACTGTATGATTCTGCGTACATGAGGTATCTACAATAGGCAAATTTACAGGGACAGAAAATAGATTAGAGATTACCAGGGACTGCAGGGAATGATTTCTTTCTCAATGGTTACAGTCTCTTTTAAGTTTTAAAAGTAAGGACTACCAATAGTTACACAACATTGTGAATCATACTTGATGCGCTGAACTGTAAGTTTAAAATGGCCAATTTTTTTTTTTAAGATTTTATTTATTTATTTGACAGAGAGCAGGAAAGCACAAGCAGGGAGCAGGGAACCCAATGTAGGGTTCAAACCCAGGGTCCTGGGATCGTGACCTGAACCAAAGCAAAGGCAGTCATTTAACCAGCTGAGCCACCCAGGTGCCCCCAATTTTATGTTTAATATATATATTTTAACATAAACAAAAGTAGGAGAGGAAGCATAGTACTAAAAAGTTCTTATCCTATACACGAAATGGTTTACTATTACTGAAGGTAGGCTGTGATAAATTAAGGATTTCTACTATAAACCCCAAAGCAATTCCATTAATCACAAAGAGTTATGGCCAATAAACCAACAAAGGAGATAAAAACGGAATCACAGAAAATACCAAATAATCCAAAAGCAGAAAGAGAAGGGGAAAGAAGTAGCAATCATATAAAATAACCTAGATCTAAAGTTTGTGGAAAACTTGAGAAGTCTTAACATTAACCTAATATTGATGTGAACAAGTCCTCTACCAAAAGACTCTCTTCACTTATGTGGAAAAATCTCAACTAAACTAGACTGTAACTGGCGTGGTCTGTGTAGTCTGGAAATAATATCCCAGGACCCACACTGCTTGTAAGCAGAGGTACGGTGCCTGGAATCAAAGCCTGTCTGATTCACACCTATTCTGTCTCTGGACTGCTTATTTTGAAACTTTTCAAATCTTCAGAAAAGTTAAAAGAATGATACATGGAACACTGGTATATTCACATTTCCTATTACACAACTTAACAATTCACCCATTGTTAATGTTTTGCTACATCTGCACTTTTGCACTCTGCAAACATACCTGTTCGGGGTTTTTTCCATTCAACTACTTGAAAATTACAGACATATTTTAGCCTTAAAAACTTAATGGGAACAACACTGTTTTTGTTTTTTAAGATTTTATTGATTTTTCAGAGAGAAAGAGAGAGCACAAACAGGGGAGAAGGCAGGCAGAGGGAGAAGCAGGCTCCCTGCTGAGCAAGGAGCCAGACTTGGGACTCTGATCCCAGGATTCCAGGATCATGTCCTCAGCCGAAGGCAGACTCCCAACCAACTGAGCTACCCAGACATCCCGGAACCAGCATTTTTTAACCACCACGTATGCTGCCTCTTCTTCAAAAGCAGCATTCATTAACAACATGAGAGCAAACCATTTGGATACACTCTTCAAAAATCTGCAATGGCTCTCCACCTCCCACAGCATATAATTAAAAAGTTTAGTATAGGTTTCTCTCCATAAATGAGCTGAACCTGCCTTTCTTTTGCTTCCTTCCAAGCACTACGGTTCTAGTCACCAGTCCATGAAAACATTAAGCATCCTATGTTCCTCTAGGTCTTCGCTCATGTTGTTCATTCATCTGGAATGCCTTTTCTTTCTATCTCCAACTATCTTGGTCCTTTTCCTACTCCTTTAAAGCCCACCTCAAATGCCAGAGGACAAAGGGGTTAAAATTTCTTTGGCTATGCTACCCTGACATATTCCATATAACTACTTAGCACTTAAAGTCACATGTCTTTCAAACTAGAGTGCATATTTAAAGGCAAACACCAAGTCATCCTCATTCCTACGTAACCCAAGACCTGACACAGTGCCTCCCATTGGTGTACGGTGGTATACCTATATTTATTGAAATAAAGGTGGAGTTTCAAGTAAATGTAATGAAGACAAAAAAGTCTTATTTCCCAGCCATCACCAGTGATTAGCAATGTTCACTTAGTCTGTGATGCAAAAAGCAGAACTACCATAAAGCTTAGGCGAGTAGCACAAGCGCTATGACGTATTATTTCTGGTATAAAGCCCAATGTAAGACAGAAAAGTAAAATACCCAAGAGGAAAATAACTTAATGTAAAACAAGGATCAAACTATTAAATAGTTCCTTAACAGTAATTCACTGCTTTCAAACAGATTTCATATACATCTCCCATTTGCCTCCTCAATAAATCTGAGAAGGGATTATGAATCCTTTCCTCCAGTCACTTGCTCAACTAGTAGGACCAGATTCTCAACCCTCATTTTCCAATTCCCAGGGTTCCCTCTCTTTCTAAAATACCACTTTACCCCCAAGTCAGTTTCCCTGCTATGAAGTTTTAAGAGCTAGATCAAATCAACAGTTCGTGGTTAAGTGCTCAACTCATTTCTGAACCTTACTAATTTTACTAAGTGAAGGTAAACTGCTTGAAGCAATATACACATTATTGAAGCAGGGTTGGTAAAGGATTAATAATAAAATTACTTTTATCTTTCATATGACACCCACACAGTGGTAACATTTTCATTTTCCTTTTCTATCAGGAGGAACAATGTAAAATTTACCTCTGTAACTACACTTTGGTTAGAGTAATTCATACCCCAGCCAAGAGTCAAACAAGCCAAGCAGGTTCCTACCTCCAGCCACTTCTGCTGGCCCTCTAACTGGAATGCTGCTTGGGGCTATGTTCATGGCTTTGCTTCTTGCTTCTTGTAGGTTTCTGCCCAACTACTGTCCTAATGAGTTCCTTCCCACACACAACTTCTAAAATAGCACCAGTGCCATCGCCTTGTCTCCTTCCCGGGCCCATCCCTGCCCTGCAGTCCTATCCCCCTTACTTGGCTTTATTTTTCTCCATGGCCCTTCTCACCATTTCGCACTGTATACATTCATTCATTCATTCATGGTTAACTGTCTTTCTCATGAGGGCAGGAACTTGCTCTGTTTTGTTCACAGCTGTATCTCCTATGCCTGGACCCATGTACAGCACCTAACCAGTGCTTAACAAATATTTCTTGAGTGAATGGATGAATGATAGCTTAATAGCTATGGAGTAAAGAAAAAGCAGTGACCCCTCTCTCTCCACTTCCATTCACCATAACTAAGCCATGTCAAGAAATTACAGTTTGGTAACCATCTGCTTGGCGGTTTATGCTCAGCAAAGGTAACGTCAGTGCTCAAAATGCTCACCCCTCATAGATCTAATCTAGACCTGTCCAAAGCCCGGAATACGTAAACTCTAGATCTTCCCCCGGGGAGGCAGCGTATTATAGTACAATGATATTCAAATACAGAGATCTTTTAAAATTCAGATTCTCAGGCAAATTCAGGAATGAGATCCAAGACTGCACCCTGGGTGACTCGGAGCCAGGGAGGTGAGGGCCACACTAGGAGAATCACTGGGTAAGTACTGGAGTCAGACAGATCTCTATTCAGATCCCAGCTACACTATTCAACAACTGCATGGCACTGGTGAAAAACTTCATTTTAGCCAGCATCAATTTCTCACCTATAAAATGGGCTAACTTGCAAGTTGTATAAAGCTAACCCAAGTACTTAACACAGTGCCTGGGCACATAGCATTTGTTCAAAAACACGACAGCTACTAGTCTGTCCTTGGAGATTCTTGAAAGGAAAACAAATGGGCTTATTTCTTCCAACAGGCTTGGCTCTCCATTTCTTACTCACTCGACATTCAAAAACAAGAATTTCTGCTTAATCCAATATTGGATATCACATTAGTTCCAGATTTTATATAAAGAGGACCATAAATAAGGAAATGGAAGAAAGGAACTAGAATGGGTGCCGGAAAGTTTAAGTTCTATATGCTTCTAACTCACGTGGTCCCCAGTCTGTGCAAAGAAAGGGCCTAGTCTGATATTCTCTGAGTTTGGGAAAGCTGGGTACAAGTCCTAGCTCTGCGAAGGACTTGCTGCATAATGTCAGGCAAGTATCTGGCCCTCTCTGTGTCCTTTCAGTGGCCCCATCCATCCAGTGAAAGAATTCCAACTTAGTCTACGAAGAAGTACAGTTCCTGATTTGTACTTAACCAGATGTGTGTGGTTTTAAAAACCAAGATAATGAAGTCCTCTTGCGTGTCCAAGCCTCAGTTTCCCCATCCGTCCAAGGGTGGGAGGCTGGGTAGTCGTGGCGGCTCCAATCTCCTCGGTCTTTTTCTCCCAGTTATCTGGGTTCCACACGGCTAGATGAGGACTCCGGCAGAAGAACAGCACCGTAGGAGGTGCGGGATGTGTGTGGGGTAGGGGGTGGGTTATTGAGAAGCAGGGTCGGGATCGCCCCTGTTGAACGAGGGTGCAACCCCGACGCACGCCCACCTAGCACGGCCTGGCCACGACGCCCCCGCCTCCTCCCACCACGCCTCGGACACAGGCCGGGATGCCCCCAAGAGGGGCCCTCTGACCGCGCGCAGACCGGCATCTCTCCCTCCTCCCTTCTCGCGCCCCCTCCCCTCCTCTCACCTCTCAGTCTGGGGGCTCCCGGCTCACCGAGGGCTCGCGGCACGTCCTCCGCCGTAGCGAGACTGAGCGGACACCCAGGCGCGGGCAGGGAGAGCCCGGTACCGGACCCGCCTCCCTTTAACCCGCGCGGCCCCTTCCCCGCCCATCGCCCGGCCCCCGAAAAAGGCGGGGCCCGGGCGGGACCGCGTGGAGTGGCCAGGAGCTACCGACCTAGAGGTGCGGAAGACCCAACCCTTACAACCTCTCGGGAGGTGGCAGTCACGTGGCCCCGCCGGCGAGCGACGCGGCCGCCAGCCAATGACGCGGCGCGGCCCGCGGGCGTACCGCCCCCTGGCCGCTCTCCTCCTCGCGATTGGCTGCTCCGTGCAGCACCGCCACGAGTCCCAGTTTCTTAGGGCGAGTCCTCCTCCGCTTGCGCCTGCGAGGTCTTATTACCGGTTTTCCACCCTAACTCTGAAAGCGTAGGGAGGAAAAAGTGTCAGAAGTACAGAAGCGTTCTGTCTAGAGCTGTTAAGTGTTCTACGTTTGCGGGGGAGGGGCAAGGTCTTTATCGCTGATTTCTTGGGACCCCATTCCTTCCCACCTCCTCTTTGTAGCTGGTGAATGAAGGCCCAGAATGGGGAAAGGTCAGCTGGGACGTTAAGGGGTTTTGCCCTCAGTGTAACCTATTCTCTCCACTGAAGGTCCCAACAGCCAGAGTTGCCTTTTAAGATGTGAATAAAAATGTAAGAATAAATATGAAATATAATTCCAACCTCATTTAAGATAATCAGTGGGTTTTCTTGACATGTATAGATAAAATCAAATTCCTCCCTGAATGCTCTGGGCCCTGGCGCCTTTCTCCTCACCGGACATCTGTCTCTCTCTGCTCTCCAACCTTTGCTCGCCAAGCTTGTTCTCTTTTGGGACCCGAACACAGGTTCCGAATGCCTGATTCCTTTCTTGTCTCAGGTCATAGCCTAAAAGCCCCCCTCACTCCCAGGGAGGCCTACTTACCCTGCCAGTCACATCCTACCGTGTCATTCTGCTTTAATTATCTGCCCCCTAACTGGACACTCTCTGATACTGAATACATGTTTATTCATTCTGTCTTCCTCTTGTTTGTAGCCTGTTGGGGGGTGGGGGTTGTGAGGAATGAAGGGGACACTAGAGGGGAGTGGAAGGTCAAGAGCACCTGTGAAAGAAGCAAAAGGGTCAACTTCCTTTCCCTCCCTTTGCAGCGAACTTCTTCACAGTAATTTTAAATAACTCAATTTCTTGTCTAGAGATGATCCTCAAGTTTCTGTCAACCATCAGATCCAGAGCTTCCAGAAGTCACAAGCCATACTGGGAATCAGAACACCTGGGTTCTACTCCTGATGCTGTCCCTTGTGACTGGAGATAAGTCAGTAGCTGTTAGTGTTCTCATTTCTCCAAAGGTAGCTGATGCTCCACGATCCCCCACACCTAATGCGCCCCTCCTTCCCACTCCTGGAGAGGGTCAAGTGAGGTAATGAGTGTCAAGTACTTTGCCAACTACCTGTAGGCTGCAATACACACAGTGGCAACAGATGCTGATTTCTGGGTGTATACCTCTGGATGCACAAAAGTCTTCACATTCATTATTTAATTTAACCCTAATAGCAGCTTTCAAGGAGTTGCTATATTATGACGCTCCCTTTATAGGTGAGGAAATGAGACTCAGAGATGAAAGGTGACTTGCCCAAGGTCCCAGTTAGTAAGTGACAGTAATGTGATTTTAACGCAGTTACATCTGATGGGAAAGCCCACTCTTACCCACCACACCCACTGTGCTGGTCAAATGTAAGAATCCACCTTGCATCCTTGCCTCTAATAGATACCAGTAAAAACTGGTGTCTAAATAGACATTAAATTAAATTAAATAATAATAAATTAATAATTATAATAATAATAATAATAAATTAATAATAATAATTAAATTAAATAATAATTTAATAATGGCTATGATTTTTTTCTCTTATTCTACACTTTCTAATCCACATTACAGATGAGGGTCAGAATATTAAGTTACTTAAGAGGTCATGCAACTGGCCAGAAGTGGATTTTGATCTCAGATCAAACTGAGATCAAGCAGAGGTCAAACTGAGAGCTGCCAGATGCCAAAACCCAAGAACATGTGGATATGACCCACTGCAAGAGGGAGGTGCTACAGAAGAAGCTTTAGGCCAGTCATTGTTGCCTCTCTCCCTCCCAGGTGAGCATCTCCAACTGCTAGTTAATGCAGCGGGCCTCTCTGACTGCCCCACAAGCACACATCCTCAGGGGACCCTGGAAGCGGATTTTGGTTTGCCATTCCTGCCTCACCTTCATGCTCTAGGTTCCTGCTGCAGGAACCTAAGAGGTGAAACACATAAGCCAAACCCTGCTCATCTACTTTTCTTCAATGACAGCAGGTCAGCAGCCCAGCCCATAAGCCCGGGCATTTTCCCTCCCATTGGTCTTGGAGTTCGAAGAGGTGCTGGCAGCTGGAGGTCACGTATTCTAGTCATTACTCTGTCCCAAACTGCTTTCTGAAAAGTAACTGAAGTGAGGGTGTTATGGGCCAACAAGTAAGTCATTTCATGTGAGAGGCCCCTTGAGGAATTACCTCCACAGCACTTCCTGACCAGACACACTTCCCAGGTGGGACCGGTCACTTGCTCTGAAGCTATAGTGGGCCCCAGACTGACTCCCATGATCAAATAGGCTATTCCTAATTTGCTATTCTGATATATTCACTGCTATGGGTGTTATTTTTTTTTTCAAGTTTGATTGTTCTTGAAAGCAGATAACATGTACAAGCAAATTTAAAAGATCAAAAGAGTTTAGGATGAAAAGTAAGTCTTTCTCCCACACTATCCATTCTTACCCCATTATTCCTCCTGGAGGCAAACACAGCACCAGTTTCCTTTGTTATCTTCCAGTTATTCTATACCAACAGTTTTCAGTCCTGGCTACACACCAGAATCTCCTGGAGAACTTTTAAAAGATAACAATGTTTGAGTTCCATTCCCGGATATTAAGATCAAATTCGAGTACAGTGAGCTCAGGCACTGATATTTTTAAAAGACATCCAGGAGATTCTAATGTACACAGAGGGTTGGCAAACCAGTGATCTATGCAGATACAAGACGATGTCTCTTTACACAGAAGAAACATAAAATATACACTATTTTACACTTTTTAAAAATTAATATTCTATGTTGAAGACTGTTGTATATCAGTGCATAAAGAGCTGCTTTTTGGCTATCTACTGCTTGTTAGGTCCGTTATTAAACGAAACGAGGCTGAGACAAAATGAAAGTTATTTAAAGCTTTATTTTATGATAAGTATTAGAAGTCAGACTGATTGGCCAGGGGAACGAGACTGAGACAAGGTGAAAGTTATGCAAAGCTCTATTCTATGCTAAGCCTTAGAAGTCAGACTGACCGGCCAGGGCCGTCTCTGAAGAGAGCGACCACCCCCAGCTTACAGGCTCAAGAATCCACTGACTGACCGGTCAGGGCCGCCTCCGAAGAGGGCGACCCCTCGCCATCTTACAGACTGCCCTTTATAGAGCAAAAGTCTGGCCACACATGGGTGGCCAATGAGATTGTAGTCATGTTAGGTCACACACAGGTGGCCAATTGAATTACAATTTACCCTATAGTAGCTGTTTGACCCAACCTATTACTCCGGTCAGAATTGGTGCTCAAGGTTGGCGCCCAAACGGCGGGGTTTACATTCTTCGGTGGTTAGGGAAAAAGCATGTGTGTTTCTCACTGATTGGATGTCTCCACCTGGCCCGACTCATCCTTGTATTCTGGGCTCTGTTATTAGAAACTGGCTGACCATATTTTACTGGTTTCCCAGATTTGCTTCTAAGTAAGTTTCTCTGGGGGAAGGGGGGCAGAGTCAGTTTAAGTTTTACTGCACAAACAACAAAATGGCTTTTAACCAAAATGGAGTCGCTCTGGCTAAATAGGTCCTTGCATTCCCCCCTTTTCTTTGGAGATTAGTCAAATCTTTGACTTTTCAGCCAGACTTTTGTTCCCTTATTATTTTCCCCTGAACAATTTTGACCCTTAAATCTTTAAGGTAGTTGAAGGTGGAAGGTCTCATCTTCTGTAATTTCTTCCTGCTGAATAGGGGTGTAAAGTTGTCCTACCCATTTGGGTCAATATTGATCAGTTGAGGAGTGTGTAGGGGAGTTACAAAAGACAGAGGCAGCTGAATCCAGCACTGACAGTGAAGAAGTGTCTCTATGCGTGGCAAGAATCATCTGTTGTCGTGAAGTCATTGCAGTAACAGAGTCTCAGCACCAAGTAGAGAAACATTGAACAAAGCAACATATTAAAATTAATAAGGCTATAAGAATGAGAAGCCCGAAAAGGAGATTTATCCATCCATCGCCAGTCTCCAGAATTAATTTGTCAAGGTTTCTTTAAGAGTCTGGTTTATTATTTTTTTTACTTATCTGGAGTTTTGGGACCGGTAGGCACAGTGTAGTTTTCAATTAGTGCTCATGACCTTGCCCAATGTCTGTGAGATTGAACTCACAAATGAAGGGCCATTGTCTGATCCGATCATGAGAGGTAATCCAAACCTAGGAATTATTTTTTAGTAGCTCTTGGCTACCACTCCTATCTTTTTATGTTTGGCGGAAAAAGCCTCTATCCAGCCTGAAAAGGTATTCACAAAAACTAACATATACTTGTGTCCATATTTTCCCAGTTTCATCTCTGTAAAATCTATTTCCCAATAAATTCCTGGTTCCTTACCTCATTTTCTTTTCCCTCTTCCCATTTTAGCTCCTCCCGCATTTACCGCCTGACATTGAGCACATTTATCAACCACATCCTGAGCCATACGCTCTAATTCAGAAACCTGGAACTGTTTGCACATAAACTCGTTAAGTTTGCGTGTCCCCAAATGAGTGTCCTGATCTATTTGGCTTACTAATTTCTTCTAGTCTTTGAGGAAGAATTAACTTTCCTATTTTAGTCTTAGCCCAATCCCCTTCATAATCTAATTTAGTCCATTTCTGTAAATATAC